CACATACACTAAAAATCTATTCACACATTATATATGTTACCATTTTTATTACAACATATATGTCACGCAGTCCCCATTGGTGAGACAGAAATGCACTCAGGAACACAAACAAATCGGAAGGAGGGTAGCTAGTGAAGTGCTGCGAAAACAAGAGCCAACCTTGACGAGGTTGTTCACCACTCGGATGGCGGCTGCTGTGGTTAGATTGCTGCCAGCTCGCTGCGTGCCATTATTGTTATCTCTGCGTGGCGGAAGGCGACGCGCCCCCATTCCTCTTCCACCCTACAACACACTCATGATAAATTATCACGAATACAGTGATAATACTTCTCATAGTCAGGCAATAATTTTCAGCTAGCTCCTCAACTAGCAAAAAATGGAACCCCCAAAACTCTAAGAATATCCGAAAAGCCGATGTGAGGAGCCCAGCCCAACGGCGCTACCAGGATCTAGGCGCAATTAAAGCAAAGTGCCGGATGTACAGCAGAAGAGCCAGTACTGTAATACTCAATATGTCACAATTTGAAGGATCCGAAGATAGCGAAGACGAGCAATTCGATTCCTTCCCGACCCATACATACATTGATTGCAAAATAAGCTCCACTCACGACCTCCCCTTTCATCAAGCTTTAAGCAACGACTGCTCATGATTACGGAAGAACTTTCTACTCATGATTATGGCAAAAACTTCCTGCTCATGATTACGAAAAAACTTTCTTCAAAGAATCAAGTGGAATTTATTACCCGAAAGTTTCTGCGTCCGGCGACGGCGGCGGCTCGCCTTCTGTTACCTTGCTTGCTGCCACCGGGCAGCTGCCCCTGCTGTCTGCGTTCGTTTTTGATAATTTCATCTGCAAAAAAAGGACAGAGCACTAGTTCCTTGAAGCAGGCGATCCTACCAAACAAACATTGATTTTCATTGATATTTTAAAAATTTCAAGTCCCAAATTCCCCCTCCCCCGTCGGTAAAGGCAGCGAAAGGCGACTTACCAAGAGACATATTAATCTTGTTGTCCACCATATTGCTCACTCAATCAATCAATATGTTGCTCAGGAATGAACGTGGAAGGTATGATAATAACTTTAACAGAGGTAATTGCCAGAAAAATCGTTCCTCTGATAGCACAGAATGAATGCTCACGAAAGTATCTGCAAATGATTAACCAAACTATATGAAACCATAAAACTGCGAGTATCGATTCGTAACGCACAAAACGGCTCAGTCAGACAAAGCCCCCCTCCCACCCAGCCCCTCTCGACGATAGTACAAGTCTCGGAGTTCACACTTTCAGAAAGCAGTGTAATTCGCCCGAGGCGTTGGACTCTCCTCCCTACCTCATAGGCGGATCCAGCGGGTGAGGAGGCAATGGACTGGAAAAGGACGGGAGCCTGAAATCTTCTATTTTTGGGTCAAAGGCTAAAAATTCATGGAAACTCTCTTGCACACCCAACCCCCACCCCCACCCGTCCCCCGCTCCCACACCGCCTTCCTACTCTCTGAGGCATCCTGAATGCACCTATGCTTTCCGTACGTGATATGGGTCCAGTTCGGAGGAAAGCCGTGCGAAGAGCCAGACGAACAACAAGCACACCACACTCATCAATGGAACGGGAAGAGGATGAAGATGTGCTGTGCAGGGTGCTGCCCAACGTGCACAGTGCCCTCCCCCCACCCATCCAGGCAGAATCCAGAAAATCACACGAGCCAATCGATTCGTGTTCTGGAAGCACAGGTCGATGAGGGCCACAGAGAGAGAGAGAGGAAGCAAAAGCAAAGAGCGTTCTTCAATATCGACGTGTGCTAGTGAGTAACCGTTTCTGGCACGTTGTCCATGTGAGCAGTGGTCCGGATGATGTTCTATGGCTCCGTGAGGTGGGTGAAAGATAGCCACGACGTCAATAACCCAAAAAATGTTCTTTGGTTTCTTGAGTTGGATGAGGGAGGAGGACGATGTCATTGAGGTAAAACACTCCCCAAAATAACCTATGTATTCCATCTACACCTCCCATGTGGTTTCCTGGCCTGTTCAACTCGTCCCGTTTTCAGTGATGCTACGCAAAACGCGCAATTAGGGGCCATTAGGAAATCTCGAGGCCACAGCCTTGATTAGAGACAAAATCACCCCGCACTCTTCACTTTTCGAAGAATTGCAACGATATCTGCTGCAGTGAGGACTGGAATCACAATATGGGCGAGATCTTCGTTCATGACAGAGAATTTACTAGCTGGGCTCATCCGTCGTGGATTAGCTCGATTGGTATGCAAAAATACTGCAATTCGAGGATGACAGCAAATTTGGAAGTTTGTTCCGGGTTTGTGCTACTCCAACCCCCTCCCTCGCACCTTTCGCCACCATCCGTCGCCTCAACAAAATCCGGACAACAAAATTCCAGCTTCCTGAAGATTTTCCTTGCGATTTCAAAGAAGGACTGCCAATGAAAAGACAGAGAGACAAACGCTTGTGGGCTCTTACACAACACGAAAATCACAAAAAAAAAAAAAACGCATAAGGGCCCGAAGTAGCCCGAAAGACGAATTTTGCGGACAGACACACATACACAATGCGAATTTTCGTACACGTCGCGCGAAAAAGGGTTTCAAAAAATGACTCAATTCTGAACTTTACGTAGGAAAAGGACGGCAACAAAAAAGAGCGAAAAAATTCGAAAATCGAATCAAAAACTGAATTATGCGGGCTGACATGTGAGAAGGGCGCAAATTTCTGCATAAAAAGCATAAAAAAAAAGAGGAAAGAGAGGGGGTACGGGATTCTGGATCAGACGGACAGCCGCGAAACAACGGAACTTCGAATCGCGCGGACAGACACAACACCCCCTTCCCCACACCAACAAATCAACGAACAACATCGCGCACCACCACCACCGTGGCCGTGCGAGGAGAGAGAGAGAGAACCGGTCGACACCTTCCACTCCACCACCACTGACGACGCATCCAGAAATTGCTGCGCTTATGTATTGATCCAAAACGACAACAAGTTTTCCCTGCAAAACCTAACTACTCTTCGTTTGGCAAAAATCCAATCGCTCTGAAATTTTCTTTTTCTCTGCTTCTTTTTAACTTCCGTGCTCTCTTTACTAGCTTTTTTGTCTGTTTTGCAGCATCCCGCAGTCCCTATAATTCCTCCAAAAGCTGCCGTCTCCGGGAAATAACACTCTCTCCTTTTCGTGCTGGGTCAATGCAAAGCTATGAGCGAGATTTATCATGCAGCGGCTTATAGGCGTCATCGTTTTGTTTTGTTGTGTATAGCGTTACGTGAGTAAGAGTGGTGGTGTGCGGGTGTGTGCGTGGGTACCATTGCTGTGGCGGTGGGGTGTGTGTGCTGGTAGCGTAGCAGGCAAAATTTGTGGCGGTAGGTGGTGACCGAAAGTACCATGGAATAGTGGTTTTAGACGAAAAATGCTGCCGAGGATAGATTTTAAGCGGAAAGTGGCCATAACTCGCGTGATTTCAGGCCGCGGGTACCATGGCACCGGGCGAAAAGCTCGAATCGCAGTTGTCTGGCTTGCCGGGAGTGCTGTGTTTTTGGCCTAAACTATCGTGGCATGTGAGATTTTTTGTTGGGCACCATCGTGGCTCGCCTCTAACACGCTTCTCCAGAGGGAGGGAGGGAGCGTAGGAGGAGGACCACTGTATGCGATTTAAGATAAAAAGCACTAAATGCCGGGGTTTTTTTTTGCATGTACCACAGCAGTAACGGGGATGCCGTCGGACCAAGCGTAGCGAGGAGTGGGTGGGAGGGTTTCAGACCCGAAATATTCAAAATTGACGTATCCCCTCAGATTTTGGCCCCTAGTCGCGCGTGTCACGTTGCTGTTATTTGTTTAAAAAGCGTTGCTGTATTCATTGTATGCTTTCTTCTAAATTGTTGTAGAAATTTTAGAGATACAGTAAATGCCTCCTGGCTGGGAGATTTCCTGGCCAGTTTCTTCGTTTCTTAAATTATTTGCCTAAAAAAACCCATAAATATTCCCGAGAATTCATGGTAGAAATCACGCAGCATGGCTGCCAGTTGTTAGTTCATACTCGAACTTATACAGCTAAAAACTTTTCCAATCGATGCTGCTTTTTGCTTAGTGGTCAGCTTGCTGGCGATTCTGACGTTCGCTTGCTCTTCCTTCAGCCATTCTGCTGACAGAAACGTTTTGCAAAGCTTCAGCATTTTTTTTTCTGGGTGTTTTTTGACGGTTGTTGAGCATCACCACCCTGCCCGCCTCATTGTTCTCATTGCTAAAACGCGATAAGTTACCTTATCGAGACTTA